AAAATATGGACGAAGTGGAACAAACAATGCAGTTTCAGCTCGGATATTAATTTTGTTTAATATGTTAGGTGTTTGTCAACCATTTTAACCCATTTGGAAGGGTTTCCGTTTTCTGTCCCCGAAATAACCTTTAGATAAATATATATATATATATTATATATATATATATATATATATTATATATAGATATATCATAATATATAGATATATTTTGATACGCATAGCGCCAAAAAAAGCTGACAAAAAACGTTACATGCTTTTTTTTAAAAAGGATAATTTCAGACGTGTTGCCGCAAGTTGGCTGGCCATACGCACCACACTCGAATTAATTAGTCGCAAAAAGGCCCAGGATTACTCCATATTAGTGTTTTATTTCTTTGTATTATTTTTTCGTTAACTGGAAAAGAAGTGGAAAATACATTTGGCGTTAACAATCTCCCCCCGAGTAAATCATTCCCCCTCAATCCCCTTTTGACATTTCAGGCCCTTGCATTAATTCATTATATTGAATTTCCGCCCGTTTTGGCTGATCCCCAAAATTATCGTGCCTTCGCCGGGAATTATTTTATTTAACTCAACGGTCAAGGTCACAAGTTATATAGTTCGTTTCCATGATCAGTATGCAAGTGTTTGGGTACACGTCCACGTTGAAGAATGAAATTCTGGGCTTTTGGGACATCTTGGGCGTCTTTCCTCTTAAGCAATCTTTGAAAAATTGTCTATTATAGTGAGAAAAAATCTCTGCCCATCATTACTCTTTGCGTAAGCCGTCATATCCATCAAATCAGCCTGCCATGTTTCACCTAGGTCGCGAGTATTCACTTGCCGCCGAGGATAATTTCTGCATGCTGGTTTTTGCAATTCCGTCACCACATCCGATTCATTTTCATCCATTCTTAAATATTTGCTCGAATTCTAGAGTCAATTTCCCAACTCGTTTGTTTACATCTGTAAATTTACGTATCAATTCCATGTATAAGGTTTGAATCTCCTTATGGAGCATCTTCAACGTGATAGTATATGGGGGGCCAAAGGTGTGGCAACATTAGTCAAACTTGGACCCAATACTTTTTATGCAAGTCTTTTGCATAATTTTTCTTGTGAAAATGATATCGACAATTATCCTGCTCCCCTTCCTATCTAATTCAAATCCTATCCAACGTCTCCTTTGACGCCACAAAAATGCGGAACGCTATAAAACTTCCACTCTTCTATGTAAAATTGATAGCCGTATGGAAGACGGCGATGCTCGATATATGCAGGGTGTCCCAGAAGTACATGCTAATCCTTTACCAGCATGTGCAGGGCATGATTCTGAGCCGAAAAGTCCTTTTCCACTTTTGGATCAGAAGCACCCCCCCGGAGATATTGGGGTAAATAGGAGAGCCAATGACGCTGCAGCGTTAAACGGCAGTACGTCCGTGTGGCTCCGCACACATAGCCCGCTGCCTCGAAGGGGCGTCGCTCATGCATGCATCACTGTCCATTTTTTTTTCTTGTAAAAATTGTATCGAGAATTATCCTGTTCCCACCTTCCTACCTAATCCAAATGCTGTCCAACGACTCCTCTGACGTCTCAAAAATGTGGAACGCTATAAAAACTTCCCGTCTTACATGTATTCTTGGTCGTAATTGCCATCTACGATTAGCTCATATCCGATACCTCCTGGACGGCGATTGTTAGAATTGTTATTGGCGTGAATGTGATGACGGAACACGTCAACACTCATGATGCAACTGTGCATCGTTAAAAAGATTCCTATTCTAATATATTATTGCAGCTCCACGAAGTTCCTCTATAATTGATATGATTTCATTGGCATGACTCTAATTACCCGCCGATTGTGAGGTCATCAGTAATTGAAGACGTTCTAGATGTTCGTTGGGATCGTCCCAACCAACATAGTCCACTTTACGAAATCGTTGAGCTGTCATAAACGTAGATACAAGTTCCTTACCTTCATACATTGATGTGTCAAACTGTGAAATATTTTTTTCATATTTCTCACTCTGAAGATCTCGAATACCTTCACGTACTTTTTCATTTTTTTGATGACTATTTCTTGCAAGGATTATATTTTTATGAGCGTTAATGTCACTTTCACTGATTGAGGCCGCAGTTGGATGCTTCATGGAGAGAAGCTCCAGTAACCCAGACGGTTTCGGCAATCTACGTCGCCCTATACATCTCATTAATTACCTCAGTCTTGGGGGTATAATCATAATCGATTTCAAAATTGGAATACATATCATTGCGCACACCTATGTTTAGCCTTTCTTGTTGGATATTTATATAAGACTGAATACTCATGATATTCTGGATTCCCGTCAGGATTGGAAGTCTTCGAAGAACTACGATTTAAGACATGCTGATTCTATTGGCCAACTCCTCGGTTTTACTCGCAGAGTTTTGGAAGCTAATAAAAGTCACGAATCGGATCAAGCCGTAGCCATTCCTAAAGTAAACGCCTGACGAGTTGAGTATAATATCACAGCGGTACATACAACAATCAAAAATTTAATACCAGTCATGAATTCTTTCCCCCGGTGCCTCCTCAATATAAAATAGTGGAAGTTCCATCAGAAGATATTTATTTACCAGTGACTGTGCAAATAATCAATGATTTATACCTGAGAATCATTGTTCACGATGGTGATGTGATACATTTTCGAGATGAAACGATTACCGTAAGACTAAGTGTGACATTAAGTGTATTCCATAACCAGGGATATTGTTTATAAGAAGAAGATTGGCTACTATTCTTGTAAAAGTCACCAGCTATGGTACCCGTTAATCAGTTCGCTGTTGGTTTCAAATTCGATAAAATCCGAATAACAGTCCCAAATCAGGATCTTTGTATTTCACCAAGCAAAAGCTGCTTACGTATCACTGGTAAATTTGCCAAGTCAGACAATACTATCACAACTATCACGAAATTTGTAAATAATGCCATTTGCTATTTATTTCACGAGATTCGATATGAAATTAATGCTATAGAAATGGATGAAGTTAAGAATGTCGGTATTATGATTCTTATGAAGAATCTCGTTGCTCTAACACCCAATTAAAGCATTTGGATGAAGGATGGTGGGTGACTAGGTGTTGAAGAGAAATTGAGTTTAATTGATACGAATGGTTATTTCGACATATCCATTCAACCGTCTACGCTATTGGGATACGCTGAAGATTATCAAAAAAGTATAGTCAATGTGAAGCGTGAGTTCGTTTTACTGTTTGTAAGGGGGATTTTCCCGGGGTATTTCGCCCAGGAGAATCATCCCTTACGACCAATGTCCATGCCTCTAAAGTGTCGGACGCCAGCCAGACCTTTTCGGAAGGTCTGACAAAACCGGCCCGCAGGGCCTATGCGGCTACCCGAGGGACTTTTCTGGTCGCTGGACATGCCAC